GGCTCATGTAGAAGGATTGACCCATTGTCTCATAATTTTGTTTATTGTTATTTTGATGAACCCACTTTTCTTCATATATATCCAACATGCGATTATTTAAGCAAAAATATAATCAACATATCGTTTATTTTGAATTCTCTCCTGCCACTATCAGTGATGTTCAAAGTCTACCGCTGAATCAGAACCAATTGCATAATTATAAATCGGCTTCCATTTCTCTAAGGCTGGCTGTATGATACTAATTGACTTTGATCAAATGAATTGAACTCCAACTAATCAACATTTAATGAGCGAAACACAATGACTAATCTTCTTTGCTGTTTTTTTACGAATAAAAGTGAGCTTGTCATTCGACATTCGTAACACTTAGAGTTTATTTTTGTTTGAACAAAATTTACAAATTTAGATTTTTAAATTTAAAATTCAAATGTCTGACAAAAGCAATAAACTTATCTATTACTTCGAAATCTGAGCAAGAATCAACTAGTTGCTAACAATAAATAGTTAAATAATCTGAAAGATATTATCTCTATCCTCTCGGCTGATTGTTACATCTGTAATTTTTTTTTTTCATGAAAAGAATAATTATTCAAATTTCAAATAATCTTTTATATGAATATCAAGATGAGAATGCAATAGTCAGTAAATGACAGGTAATGACAAAAAAAATTTCGATAAAAAGTGTTACTCTAATTTGAAGTTCATAATGCATTGTCAAATTATGGAATATTCAATCTTCCATCTATCATGCCTTTGAGAAAAATGAAATTGTTGCTCTCATTTATTTATTTAACTTTTACCGAATGTAAAGCATTTTCTAAATTCGTTACTCGAGATGTAAGTATATCATTGCATAAATCTTGTGCATTTTCCTATAAAAATTAAATGAACAAAAAAAGGAAAATTTTTTATCAAAATCTTACATTTGATACAGAATCCATCCATGTTTGTATCCATTGTTTTTGTTCATCACTTAAATCTTCACATGCATTTAATTGTTGAAAACAAACATATGCTGTTTGAATTAAACGACGTGAATTATCAATATTATTAAAACCACTAAATAAAAAATTTATTATTTTTTTTTTATTAATTAAAAATTTAAGAATATTATTTTTTGTTTTTTACGTTGATCGTCGACTATTATTTGATTGTCCATCACGTGAGATAATTGTTCGTTGTCGTTCTAATTCTTCTCGTAAATGCTATAAAGTATTTCAAGCAAAAAAAATTTTATTTAAAATATTTTATTAGCATTTATTTACAGTAATTTCACTTTGCATTTCAATAACATGTTGTGCATTTGGATCAATATTTTTTATAGGTTTATTTCGAATTTGACTTGCCTTAAAAAGAAGATGTCAATTCGAATAAATTATTTTCGATCATACTCGTTGTGCATATTTAAGTGCATTAAGAGATTCATCAAGGTCAGCAGTGCATGGACTCACACCTGAAAAATAAATTAATAATGATTCTTTGAAATGATGTTTTGTTTTTTTACATGTAATCATTAATGTTTTAGCGTTTCCACCAAGTGAATCTTTGAGTAAACGAGTAATTTTTGAATCACGGTAAGGTATATGACCACCGGTACGTTTTTTTGGATCGGATAAAGCACTGACAACATTTCCCAGAGCCAATAAACCCGAATTAATACGTATTGATTCTTGAAAACGTTCGCCTGTATTTTGTGTACGTGCAACACGTTCCGAACCGGCCAAATCAACAAAATGAAGTTTAGCAGAAAGATAACTTTCTACGATAAAAAAAAAACAGAAAAAAAAACAATGATCGAACATTTTTCTTTTCAAATGTTTTACCATCAAATGTTGTTTGTAGTGGCTTAACAAGAGCATCAAATGAAGCTTGCACAGTATTTGTATTAGGATTTTTATCATGAAGACGTTGTTCTACAGAAAAAAAAGTTTATAAAAAAGAATTCTATTAAATAAAATTCATACCAATATATAAAGTAAAAATAGCATGTGATCTAGATGATTCATCATTCATATGTGTTGCACCAGTATGTCTAACATTAGAACCTTTTTTTAATAAACTAACAACATCATCAATTGAATCACATCTGTGTTCACTTGCTCCGATAACAACTAAAAATATACTTAATTAAATATTATTGTATTAAGAAAAAAAAATAACAAGAAGATTAGATTATATATACCTGTATTTCCAGCGGCATCATCTCGAACATCTATATCTTTATCATTAACATCAAGTAAATCAATAATATCATCTTTATAGATTTCTAAATAAGATGCAGATATTGTAATTCGACAATCAGGTCGATTCTAAAATAAAGTATACGTTTTTTATTTTTGTATTTCTTTTAAAATAATTTACTAACTTGAATAGTATTAAATATTGTTTTAACAGCACGTGGAATAATACCATAATCTTTTTCTCCTATTGATAAAATATTTCCACCTGTCATAGTATATGTTTTTCCTGAACCCTAATTTTATATACAAATAATTTAATAGATAATTAATATAAAATTTATTATATTACAGTTTGACCATAAGCAAAGATTGTAACATTATATCCATCAAAAACATTATTTAGCATGGGTTCAACACTTGTTCGATATAATTCTTCCTATAAAAAGAAAGATTAACTAGGGTTAAGTTCGAATAATTACATATTCGCTTTTTTTAATTTTTTGATATCGCGAACTTCTGTTGAAAAAGTACAATTTATTAAAACAGAAATACTATAGAAATGAAGAGGCTAGATAATGATACAATAAGTAATCCATGATTGTCCTCGAACAATTAAATCAAAAGAGAATAGAAAGCTTCAGAAGTCTTTAGACTTATTCTAGTTTGTAATACTATCTGACTTCAAGGTTACACTTTTTCCAAATAGAACTGAGGAAGTCGAGTATTTTTCAAGTGACAAGTCAAGTCAGATTTGAGTTGACTTGCCCAACTCTGACTTCTTCATTCTATTCAATTAAGAACGAACTGTACCGAATACACATGAGACGTGGAGACATCTCCAGATGATTACAACGCAACGAACTAATATCTTCTTAACACATTCAACCCGATGAGACCTACCGGTGGGACGCACTACATGGTAGCCCAAAAGTCTCTTTAGTACAGAAAAACTTGAATATCTATGCCATATTTTGATCAAAGGAGCTGATTCTTTTACCACTAATAAAGGAATATTCATAGCTCAGATCTATAAGAGAAACGTTGACAAAAGCCGATTATGAAGTATTACAACTGCCATGAATAAAGAATCGGAACCTTTGACGAATTATGAAAAAACAATATCCATATCGTCTCGAATGTGTTAAAACTCAACACTGTTTTAAACTTCTTCAAAGATGAACCCATTGATAAAATGTATTCAAAAAAAAAATAGAGAAATTTTTGTTAACTCTAAGAGTTTAAGTCTAAGTCTCTTCTTACCTGTAGAGTTTTTGGTCCCAAGATAAAATCATATTTGAATGTTCGTCTATCTCCTAATACAATTTGATTAGTTTGTGGATGAATAGCAATACAACTTTTTTGTTCATGTGTTTTTTCTCGTGGTAAAAATGGTCGAACCTAAAAATGAATACTTTGTTATTAAAACACGAACAAAAAAGAAATTAAAAGAATTCATTTTGATTTAACTTACACGAACAGCTACTTTAACACGGAATTCTGATTCGCTAGCAAGCATTTTCATTTCATCTACAAGTTTATTTATAAAAAACAAAAAGAGAAAAAAAAAGAATGATTAAAGAAAAAAAATTGAATAAAATTATATTTGAAAAGAAAAACGCATCTTTTTATTTTTAATTTCTATTGTCCACGTTCTCCATTTTCATATTTTTGTAATTTTTCTTTTAATGTTTCATTTTCTCGTACTAAGTCATCAAGTTTTTCACGCATAGCCATTATTTCAGTTTTTAATGTTTCTATTTCAGCTGAATCAGGTCCACTTGCACCCATAAATCGTCGAACAAATTCTGTTGCATTATTTGGTTTTTCAGCTTCTTCATATAAAGCAACTAAAGCTCCTAGAAGAACAACAGGAAATCATAATAATATTTATGAAATTTAACGGATGAACGCACGTGTAATGGCATCAACAACACCACCCTTTTCAAGATAACGACGAAATTCTTCTCGTTTTGATTCATTAGGACGATAAGTTGATGTCATTGCTCAGCTGTCACTTAGTTAAAACTACACAACATAAAAAAAAAAATAAAGAAACTTCTTCCAATTGACAAGCATTTGGTTTATAAGTTGCCTAGCGACTACATCTATATGACTCATTTAAATTAATCATCACATTAATGCACTTTATTGATATTTCAATATATTAATGGAATAAGATAAAGAAAATAAATAATTTTTAGTTTCAAACATAATAATAAAGTTTTATTTATTATTTAATAAAAAGATGCAAATGAACGCATTCCATATTTTACCAAGATTAGCCAATCATGGATTTCAGTTCGATTATTCGTATATCGAAGCATGTTTGATATTAAATATGATGTTTTTTTCTAGATCGATTTTTATTTCCATCTCGATTTTACTCGATCATGCGTCCCATCAAAGCTCGTGAACAACTCGCCATACCAGATGACGGTATTTTCTTTATTTATTAAAAAAAAAGTAAATTTTCGTGTTTGTTTTTCTTCGAAATTTAGTTAAAGTCAGTGTAAAAAGTCGTGTTGTTCAAGTAGACGGCAAACGAGGCAGACTTGTACGAAGTTTTCGTCATGCTCGTGTTGATATATCAATGCCTAAAAAGAAGTTACTTGTTGTCGAAAAATGGTTTGGTACAAATAAGGAAAATGCTGTTGTGCGTACTATTTGTTCGCATATTAACAATATGATTAAAGGTGTTACTAAGGTTAGTTGAAAATATAATTTCTTCTGATTGACAGAATTAACTAGATTTTGAAACATTAATTAATATATGCTTAGACATAGATGCAAAAGATTAGATCTATGATATTACAGTTGTCCAGTCACATATTTCGAAATAAAGAAAAAATCAATAATATTGATTGTTTTATTTTTAGGGCTATTGTTACAAAATGCGTTCAGTATACGCTCACTTTCCAATCAATACTGTTGTTACAGATAATGGTCAATCCGTTGAAATTCGTAACTTTTTAGGTGAAAAATTTGTTCGTCGCGTTAAAATGCAACCAGGTGTTAAAGTATCTGCTAGTACAAAACAAAAAGATGAACTAATTTTAGAAGGAAATGATGTTGAACTTGTATCACGATCAGGTAAATACGTTTTTTTTCTTCTAAATTTAGATAGTATTTTCTTATTTAAAACTATTTTTAGCTGCACTTATTCAAATGTCAACAGCAGTTAAAAATAAAGATATCCGTAAATTTCTTGACGGCATCTATGTCAGCGAAAAAGTGACTGCCGAAGAAGCTTAAATGTATAACGTGCGCTTGTTTTTGTGATCATTAAATTCACATTGTTTTTTTTTATGTGTATTTATGCGCGCGTTATATAATAAATAACAGCAAAAAAAAAGAATTGAAAGATCAAGAAAATAAAAAGAATTAAAATTATTTTGTTTTTTGTTTCATTTCCACTTCAGACAATTGACATGTTATTAGTGTAAAAAAAAAAGAATTCATTGGGATGAACGATCCTTCTCCTGATCTAATAGAAGATGCAAATATTCATCATCAGTTAAATGAAAGTCATCTTTCTTATAGAGAACTTTTTCGTCATCTTGATAAAGATCAAGACGGTCGAATTGAGGTTGATGAACTAATTGAATTATTAGAAAAAGTTGGTGGTGAAACTTCAGAAAAAAAACGTTGGGCTATTGTTCGTGTAAGTTGTACTTTTGTTTTGCTCGTCGGATAAAGAATTTCAGTTTTATTTTTATTATTTTTTTCATAGCGTATTATGGATCAGGCTGGTGAATCACCAACATCATCTTCTCTTTCATTTAAACAATTTGCTAATTATGTTTTAGAACAAGAAAAAAAACTTTGTCTCGTTTTTAGAAAGTTAGATGCTAGTCATCAGGGTAAGTAATGAAGAAGATGAAACATAAAAACCAAAAAAAAAAACAAGAAAGATTTTTATTGATTATGAAATTTTGTTTCTATTTAGGAAAATTTGACGCAAAAGATTTAGTATATTATTTTCAAAAACTTGGTATTAAACTTGATTTAGGAGAAGCAAATAGATTAGTTGGAAAGTAAATAAAAATAATTTTAAGATTTTCTTTAGGATAAATAGAATCTTTTGTTTAGAATGGATCAAAAGAATTCTTTAGAAATTTCCTATGACGAATGGCGTTCTTTTTTCATGGTTAATCCTGCTATACTTGAAAGTGTTACTGGAGATCCACATGAAATGCTAAGATATTGGCGTGGAGCAGAGGTTTGTTATTGAATTCTTTCGGCAAAAAAACCAACTACTTCTATGCATATATCTATTTTTTTTTATTAGCATCTCGACTTAGTCGAAGCATCATATGTTGCACCGGAAGATGGAGAAACTGAAGGTAAACAATGGTGGAAACATTTTGCAGCCGGTGGTTGTGCTGGTGCTGTATCACGAACTGCTACTGCTCCGTTTGATCGATTAAAAATTATCATGCAGGTATATAGTTTAAAGAATATTTCACATGCACTACCTTTTTCACCCACTATGATTATAAAAGAACGGTGAATATTGTTAGGTTTCTTAGTATTTGGGTTCAAGACAACGCATGTCTGTGATAAATGGTTATCGATATTTAATCAACGAAGGTGGTTTTAGAAGTTTATGGCGTGGCAATGGAGTGAATGTTGTAAAAGTTATACCTGAAACAGCACTTCGATTTGCTTTTTTCGAAGAAGTAATAGAGTTTTCTATGATATTGATTCTTTTTTTTTATCGTAATATATTGATTGTCTTTTTTTTGTAGATAAAAAAAGTTGTGAAAAAAATTCAAAATAAAGATCTAACAGCTGAAACAACAATTGGTGAAAGATTTATATCCGGAGCTGCTGCTGGTTTTCTTTCTCAAACTGCTGTCTATCCATTAGATGTAAATATTCTTTTTTTTGTTTTGTTTCGTTTTTTTTTCTTAATTTTCGAAATTTAGGTCTTAAAAGTACGACTTTGTTTAAGACGAACAGGTGAATTTTCTAATTGGGCAGATGCTATAAAACGTATATACAGATTCGAAGGTCCACAAGCTTTTTGGCGTGGTTATGTTCTCAATCAAATTGGTATAGTGCCTTATGCTGGCTTTGATTTAGCATGTTATGAAGTGATTTTATCAATATTTCATATGTTTTTTAAAGATTTTCGTATGAATTTTTAGAGTCTTAAACGTCTCTACATAACTACACATAATAATTGTGAACCACCAATATATATAGTCCTTGGTTGTGGTGCTATTTCATCATTTACTGGTCAAATGGTAACTTATCCCATATCTTTATTGAGAATACGTCGTCAAGGACAAATTGTTCCACTACCACATATGGACCAAAGTAAAGCACATCCATTATTACCTGTTCCAACAGTGATAAAAGAAATTTGGCATAATGAAGGGCTTGTTGGTTTCTATCGTGGTCTAATACTCAATATGTTAAAAGTTGTCCCAGCTGTGTCCATATCATATTTAGTTTATGAAACGGTTTTAAAAGCTCTTCCAAATGAAAAAAAATAATTCAAAAGAATTGCCTTTCGTTATACAATAGGTTAATTTCTCCGTATATCGAATAGTTTTTTGTTTGGTTGTTTGTTTGTTTGGTTTTCTTTTGTGAACATTTATTTATTTTTTTAATATGCATTAAAAATAGCAGAAAAAAATCATAGCGAGTAACGAATTCTTTGCAGATGATTTATCAAAAACAATTAATTCATCTATTAAAAAAACGTTCGATTCAAATAAATTTATCATTTGTACGTTATGCCAGACCATTCAAAAAGAAATGGGTACGATTTAATGAGATATTTAATTTATAGAAAAATCTTGCTTTTTTTTTCGCCTTATTCAAGATGTTTTCATTACATCATGGTTCACATTCAAATGAACTTGCTTTAGAATATTTTGATTTTGCTTATCCATTAATATTTCATCGTCATTGGCCATCGATACGTCTTGCATTACTTAGTTTACCTAAACCAGTTGCATTACTAAATCCATATTCACTTTCAAATAAAAATATTAAACAAAAATTAATTGAACAAGGTTCAGTTGATATGTTAAGATTTGATAATGAAAAATTACGTGAAGATTTTAATTTAATTCAAAAACAAATTTCAAATAGTGATAATGAATATCAAATAAAAAAATTACTTGAACAAAAAGAAAATCGAAGATTATTAGGTACAAGTGATTTAGTCGATGAACAAGAAGATATAAATGAAGAAGAAGAAGAACAAGAAGAAGAAATTAATGAAGATGATGATATGAATACATTTAATCAACCAGAACCTGTTAAAAGACTTGATGAAATATATAAACTAGCACTTGAACAACAGGTTATATTTTGAAGAGTTATTCCTGATTGAAACCATTCTTGATTATCAAAAATTCGTCCCATGAGAAACTTTTCGAATTCATTCCTAACTAAGTAGTTCTGAAGAGATATTAATAAGATATTTTATTAACTGACTGATCATCTAACATTTACTTCATTGAAAGAAATATGAGCAATAGCGTATCAGAACATACCATGAAAAAAAAATGATCACTTAATAGTATGTTTTACTTTTACATATTATCAACACTTGATAGCATCTTCCGTGCTAGTAAGATTATCATCTGCATATACTTTAAGATGAAACTTAAGCATTGAATGGTATGATAGTTAGAGTTTAACTGTTTAAAAAAAGTAGCCGGAATCGAAACTGTAGTTCTGGTTCGGTTCCCAAAATATCATGTGAAACCGAAAATGTTAAATTATCAGACAGATACGAACATGTTAAATATATTTTGAGAAATTTTCATTATTGAATTGTTGAGAATAAGGATGCCACATATTTCAGTAGTTAAACATAACAATATTATACATATATACTAAAATCTTTAATCTCAAGAATGAAGAAATGAAGATTTCTCGACATAGATTTAATCATCTTTGTATCCATTTGATGATTTAACAGTTCCAAAATGTTTTATTCCACGAGTCCGATTGGATTTTTGGTTCCTTTTTTTTTGAAACCGCTGAAATCTAGTAGCAGTGGATGACTTGATAGGTCTTTTATACGCACATATCCATACCAACACCCGCACCTATTATATATTGATAGAACAATTAAGTTGATAATTGAAATTTTAACTGCAATTATTTAAAAGCAAATGTAAAGGAGACGAATTTATTAGGGACGTATATGGCCCAGACGGGGAGATCCCATTTTGAATAATCAAAATTCTATTAGTTTTTCTTTTTTTTTTTTATTCTATTAGTTTTTCTTTTTTTTCTATTCTATTAGGCTCAATCAGTTATTAAAGGAAATGTTGTTTCAATTGTTGATGATGATAAAGAACGAGATTATAGAAAAATTCCTCCATCATGGCATGTTTATACTTTTCCACGTAGTAATATGTCAAGATTTGAACCAGCTAAAACAGATGAATTAGGTTTATTGGGTAATAAAGCGTTTTGTGTTTGTTTTTTTTCAAAATAATTTCAGATTATTTATATTTATCTTTCGTTTAGTTTAGATTATTATTGTATGGATGGAGCTTGTATTCTTCCTATTATTGCACTTGATGTTCAACCATTTCATTCAGTACTTGATTTATGTTCAGCGCCAGGTGGAAAAGCATTAAATATTTTCCATATGTGTCCTTATAGTAAATAAATTTAGTTTCTTTTTTGTTCGATTTCTTGTAAAATTTTTTCTTGCTAAAATAGTTCAATTAACTTGTAATGATATTAATGGTTCACGTTGGAAACGTTTAATTGAAGTTTTTACTCAAACAGTACCAAAAGATACATTAGCTAAACATGTTAAACTTGTTAAAGGAGATGGATGTTTATTTGGTGAAAGACAACCAGCAAGTTTTGATCGAGTATGATATTTTAAAGATTATTTATTTGTTCAATTATGAATAATGTTTATTTAGGTACTTGTTGATGTTCCATGTACAAGTGATCGTCATGCTTTAATAACAGCATTTAATATATTCTCAAAAAAACGTATTCAAGAACGTGTTGAATTACCTGCATATCAACGAAAATTACTTGAGTATGTTTTGCTTTCTTTTTTTTTTGTCAAAGATTCAAATAAATTTTAAATAAGAAATATTTATTATTGAAGATCTGCTATTCGAGCATGTAAACCAGGTGGTATTGTTGTTTATTCAACATGTACATTAGCTCCGGTTCAAAATGAAGGTGTAGTTGAACAAGCTATTGAAAATTTAGCATCAACATCAAATAAAAAATCTCGTGGATATCAAGGAAAAGTTCCAATCAAATGTGAAGTTATTTCAACACAATCATTAGAAAAACATTACGCTTATTTTTTTGATTTTTATGCTAAAACACGTTATGGTAGTCTTGTTTTACCACATATTTCAAATAATTTTGGTCCATTATATTTTTGTAAAATTCGAAGGATCAATTAAAGAAATAAAATTAAAGTTGCATAAACTTTATCAAAAAGAACATTGAGTTCAAGTTCAATGGATAAATGAAAGTGTCAATGAATGATTGAAAACGATTTGTATTTATTCATTAATGCTCTTATATCAATATATCAGTTTAGTTTTATTATTTGATGATATTCATCTATATGAATTGAATAACAGTTCACGTGAAAAGATAAAATAATTATCAAACAAATAGATTAGAGTTTTTACAGTTTATTCGCTACAATAGTTAACGAAGATTCAGTATCGGTTAAAATTTGTTTTCTCTACATATTTAGCTTAACTTACTTGTACAAAGTCTTTGTACAACATGTCTGATCAATTTTTGTCTACTTATAAGTCACTAAAGAGATGGCTTAAAGTTAGTTTATTGATAAGAAATCTTTGATGGCGACCAAAATCGATGTTTGTATAAAACACTAATTTAATAAGTATTGGTAAATATGCTCGCTCATCTTTTTGGAGATCTCGGTATCATTGAAGAAGCTCAAAAAAAGTCAGTAGAACGAGTATGTGATGCTCTCTCTATATAGATGTTCAGGATTTTTTTTACTGACTTACGATTGGTAAGCTGTGAGCAAATATTTATATAAATGAAAAATGTTGTTTGTATTAAGTAAAATAGATCTTTTTCTATTATTTATAACTTCTCTGAGTGAGATTTTAGAATAGTTTTGACTTTCTAGTATTGCACAGAATTTTATTTTCTACTAAATCATATATTACAGTAAGCTAAAATTCAAAAAGAACCAAATACGATACACACTTTTTGAACAATTAGTCTTTATGTAAGATGGTATTTTTCAAAAACAACCACTTCTTTTGAATTTCGCTGTTTGGAATATAATAAATTTCGATCATTTGTAGGCATATCTAAAAAGAGAAATGCATTCAGTATTTTATAGATCAAGCATTGCTCTAAAACTTAATGTATAAAAATACTTTGTTGTAGTTTAGATTGAGATACTTTTTATCAAAATACAAAATTAAACTACACAAACAATTTTGTGTAAGCACTGTTTTTGATCTCCATCAAAGGTTTGTTTTCAATGAACTAACTATAAGTCAGAAAAGAATTCTGAATATATAATTAGGAAGAGTATGAAATTCTGATTCTAGCTGATTACTTTTGATTCTATCCTCTGACTGATCAGTAGACAAAAATTGACTAGATATATTGTGCGAAGACTATTTACATATAGATTATTATTCATAAATGAATTGATATTAAATGAATGATATATTGTTATACTGTAAGAGTTTGATAGTATCATTAGTCACATTAACTTGATATTTAAAACATGTTTGTTAGTATTAAATAATATATTATTACACTTAGACTAAATTCTAATGGATGTCATGTTTTTCATGACAACTATTCCAATGATTTTGATTTTCAAAGATAATTTTAATAGAAATCAACGTCAATAATCAAAGAAATATTTTCAAGGAAAAAGTGTGTATTATATCAAATAAACATTTCTTTTATCCATGTCACAGTTTAACATGGGTACTAATTAGTCATATAACTAATCGAAAGAAAAAAACTCTATGTCATCTATACATATAGAAATCAATGAAAGTTTTGACTATTATCAATATTAAGTGTAAATGAAAATATGTCGTCAATTTTTGGTATGTTAGAAAAGAATATGTATTTATTTGCTCATTGATAATGAAGCTCAAATTTTTCAAAACTATACCTTAATAGTGGACTAATAAATCATCTTTGTATTATAATACTATAAAATGAGTTATATAATGTTACTTTTTGAACTATATTTAACTTTCTCTAAAGGCATCATCCTTGAGTATCAAAAAAATAAACATTTTATAAACTCAACTATTGATAAAGTAGAGTCTCTTCAAACGTAATTCTTATACTGACCTTTACTTAATAATAGAACTAAAAAAGAACCCTTACGTTACTCCTATTGTTTTTTTTTACATACAAGATAACTAATTGAATAACATATAGATAAGATTATCTAAGAGTAATTAGAAGACAATTGAATACATTCAATTGCAATCTTATTGTATTAGATTTTATTAGTATTATAATA